GCCCCTAACAAACTTCAAGCATTTGTCCCACTTTTCAAAGTGAGCTTCAACTTTTTTCGGCACTCGAGAGAAGATGCGCTGTCTATGCTCCCCAACAGTAAACCTGAACGAAGACAAGCGACAAAAACTTGAAGATGTGCTTCCTGTCCAGCATTTTCCCAAAGTCTGAACATGTGGCAGGTATAATGTGAGGGACTCCAATCCTTCCAAGCTAAAGGCTTCGTCCACAACATCTTCCTCAACTTTGTTCCATCCTTTACTATCTGGATTCACATCAATTTTTAATTCAGTCAACTTAAAGAGACTTTTAATGGTCCCAGGATGAATTAATACATTTTGCTGCAGCTGCTTTCCACAGTTCATGCATTCATCAAGCGATAATTTCAAAATTTCTAAATTAGACAGCATTTCAATGTCTTTCGGCAAGCCCCCAATCTGAGTGTCATCGAGATCAAGCTCCAGGAGATTATGAAGCTGCCCAATTTGGGGTGACAATTCCATGAAGAGCTTACAACATCTTAGAATGAGGTTTTCAAGTGAATCCAACTCGAAAAGAGATACTGGCAAAGACCTGATGCTGGTATGCGACAAATTCAAATATTTCAGGACAGGCATTTGATTGAAGAACGAAGAAGGGATGGTCCTTAGAGCTTTGCATCCTTCCAAGGAGAGCAAACCCATAAATGGGCAGTTTGGAGATTCTGGGAGAACAGGTATACAATCAGTCAAAAAGATCGCTTTGGCATGCGATTCCTCTCCTTTTGGCCATTCCTCTACTTCTGGCATCTCTTCCTTCACTGTCACCCTTTGCTTAGAACTTGGATCGGTGTCTGTTTGAACACTAGCTGACAATTTATCCTCCGGTTCTTGGGCGCTTTGATCATCTGCTCCAATGTTCTCCTTGTGGCTGGATGACCCCTGCATAATGTTCTCAGTCAATATCAATTAATCCTGATGTAGAGCAGAAAGGAATTTTGGACAAATGGAGGAAACAGACAGGTGAGAAAGAGAATAGCAGAAATTGAGTATTTTTAGAAGACTTATAACACAATTCATGTTAAATTCTGTGAAGGATCCTAACACACACAACTGTTATATAAAAAATAGAAAATTCTAGAAGATATCAAAATCTCAAGTTCTCCATCCGGTCTCAAATTAATTCCCAAACAGTCATATTGGTTAGGAATTATTAGTTAATTTGTAATCAAAATATCAAGTTCTCCATGCTTCAATTGTTCACTTTCTCTACTATATGATATAAACTTTCTTTGGGATTATTACGAAGTGGTGTGGCTGTAGGTTTTTGTTCTTGTACTATCTCAAAAATATATAAAATGAGGTAGGCCCACAGTATTTGTGGAATTAGTAAGGTCAAAGGCCTAGATATTAATGTTATCTATAGAAAAAAATATTATTAAAATAAATATTAAAAATATATTTTATAGGGTTTAAATTTAGTCATTAACTTTCTCGTTTTAGGATGTCACATAATGCACTTATTTTTATTTTACCCTTATTTAAAAAAGATAATTACAACATATACTAAATACTCATAAAAAGACTTATCTAAATACTCATAAAAAGACTTATCTAAGTACTAGATATTAATTAGGTATAAATATGAAATTTTATTAATTAATTATTACATCATATTTGTTGACGTGCTAAAATGGATGGAGTCGCCATCTATCCAAAAAAGATGGGATAGATCACCAAAGTCTTCGTAAAAATTGACTAGGCTCGAAAAATCGATTAAGCATGAGGAAGGTGTTAGGCACCCCACAACTTCCAAATAATATGGTTACCACATACTTTAATTTTGGAGACCTTTCAATTTTATATAACAAAATAATAATAATTACCCAAGAACATAAAATAAAAAAACAAAAATCACTTTAGAAATAAACAAATACTGTTCATCATCATCTACCTTTTTCCTCGTTCCCGTTGCTTTTGTTTCTTTATATATATATATTTTTTCTGCAGCTTTCCTCTACTTTCGTTTCTGTTTTTTTCTTTTATCTAATGCATTCCTAAAGATAAACAAACCTAAAAAAACTTCATACAAGGAAAAACAGAATCGAACACAAGACTATCCCATTACCTTAATTAAACTAATCTAATCACATCTTCCCAGTCTTTCCTCCCTAAAAATCTAATTCAATTAAAGAAAACATATGAAAACAAAACAGCCATGTTGGTAATGACGCGAAGTGATAAACAGCACACATATTATCTTAAATCATCAACTTAAATACATTAGAT